TGTAAACAAACCTTCCCCTTTCCACCGCCATGAGAAATGTCCAATTTTCTTGTGATTTTCCCGGTTATTCATGGAAGTGCCACACCTAATGCGACATGAGTGCCAAAAAAGCCATCTCGGGGCCGTACCGAGCCACAAAACTGGTGAGTTTAGGAGAAAATAGGAGTAATTAGGCGAAAAAGGCTTCCAGGAGGATTTGGCTCGAAGTTTGAAACAGCGTTGATGTTAATATTTAATTATCCTGATGTTATTAAATATCCCGGAGGAAGAACGTTTATTTGCATAAAAAGTAACGTAGATTGGTGAGAATGTTATGTATAATTTAATGATTTAGTGTATGTGTAATGTAGTGTAATATACGTGAGGTATTTTGTCAGTGGAATCCCGTGCGTTTTGACATTTTTATGCTTAATCTTTAAGAATTTAACTTTTTTAACTTAAATTTAACTTTGAAAATGCTAAAATTCTTAATTCTATCATCTGAAGAGTTTTGAAATGACTTAGTGCTTATTACTTTTGTTGTGGATTCGTTCTTTATTTATGGTTGGTGTATTTTAGGATTTTATTATTAGTGATAATTTTAAGATTTGATTATTAGATTATTTTAAGATTTGATTATTAGATTATTTTAAGATTTGATTATTAGATTATTAGGGTATTTGTGTTGGATTCAGTTTATTGTGTATTTCTGGATAACTCGGTAATGTAAGTTATAATAGGAATCATGGGAAGGTGATTGATAGATGTCAAATCTTCCTTTTTTTATTGGTATTTAGTATTTGAGCTGGTGTCTAGTCATATGATTCTTGATAAAGGTTAAACACTTTTCAATGGTATTTGTGAAAAAAATGCTCAAAAAAGAGAATAATTAAAGTGTCTGAAGATTGTTTTGTAAGCTGATGAGTTACAGTGTGTTCTGAGTACATAGAAAAAATTACAAATCCTCTCTCTATCTCTTCAGTGGAATGATGCGGTGCGGTCCTTTTATAATGGCATGCCGGTGTCAAAACACTGGCGGGGGCTGCGGCAATATGAGAGGTGTTTCACAGCAGCTGAGGCCATTGACTGGCTTCACAACCATCTCCAGTCAGATCCCAATTTTGGTAGTTCGGTGTCACGGGACCAGACTACAAAATTACTGAGGTAGGAAAGGATTGTAGTTATTGTAATGCGTGATTTTATTCTGTTAAATGACATGTGCATAAATGTGTCATTTGATTTGTCATTGATTTTTATTTATTTATTTTTTTTATTTATTTATTTATTATTTTTTTAGAGCATATAAAATAGTTGCACACTACCTTCTGTCATATTTCTGTGATCTGAGAATAAGTGAAATCCTTAGATATATCTTTCGACATCACTTGCAATGGACTTTGAAATATAAATATATATATATATATATATATATATATATATATATATATATATATATATATATATATATATATATATATATATATAAATATATATTTTTTACACAATGACATTGGCTGTATTCTATTTGAATTTAAGTTTGAAATTTGGTATTATCAGTGATATGTGCCTATAATATCAAGTCCAACCAAGGGACAGTAGCGTCAAGTAATTGTAGTGATCAAGTGATTGCAGGGATCTCTGTGCTCTGCACTTCAACGCTTATTTTTGCCAGATATAGCTTAGCTAGATATCCTATTTAATAAATCACAAAAGAAGTTTGGAACCTCTGTTTTGACATAATATACAGAATGAGAGTATAGTGTTGTTGCCATGGCCAGTGAGAGATGCAGATGTCTTTTATAATATAACTAATGTCTTGGTTGACAAGTCATTATGTGGGCTAGTATACTAATACAGAATATGTAGTAAAAGATATTTCCTCAATTTTCCGTTCCAGAAAATTCCTAAAGTCAGGCCTGATTGAAGATGTCCGGGGTAATTCAGTTCGGCCAGAGGACTTTAAAGACAGCAGAGAACTGTATCGGTAAGAATGTTGTAACTGATTGACATTCTGTTGATTAGAAAAAAATACTCTTTTTTAATAAACTCATGCAATGTTTACAGTACTTGCTTGTATTTGACATTCCGAAATAATTTTTCAGGTTTAGTAATCGGTCTCCCCTGAAAGCCCTCCGCACACCAAGAACTCCTGGTCGTGTAGCCTTGGCTGCCATCAACCCAAACACTCCCAGTGCAAAGAAGGAAGATGAGGGGGCGTCTCCTATTCTGCGAAAGAGGCATCAAGGATCTGCCAGGGAGGTGTGTATTGTAATGGTTTCCCTTTCAGTATGAAAATTATTATATCCAGTGAGTGATTTTGCTCTTATTTATTTATTTATGTTTATGTCATGGACCCAAAATACAGCATCACAAGATTTTGCACATAACCCAAATAAAAAAGAGTAAACTATATTATTTACAGTGATAGATTTAAATTTTGTTTATGATGCACCATAGAGTTAAGATTTATTTATTTAATTAATTATTTATTTATTTATTTATTTTCTTATCCTTTTAGTCCATGAGAAGAACTCAGACTCAGACCGAGGCAGGAAGGCAACGCGGGGGATCCATCCGCAACAAAATCCTCGCCAAGAAGACAGGCCCACAGCACTCGGGAGAAAATGCGGCCAATGAAGTAAAAGATAACGGGGGCATGCAAGAGTGCCATCTGGTAGCTAAGCAGCTCTCCAAGGCTGAGGTCAATGACGTCTGGAAACACGTCCTTCTCGGCAAGTAAGTTTGGAAGGCGGTCTTGGTCGAAGTCCTGCTCTTGGCTGGGCGGTGCAGTCATTGGTTGTGTTGAATGTAATGTCTGTAATAAATGTGTAAATAATTGAGAGAGGAGTTTTATATCTATTCCTGGCTTTTGTGATAATAACACTTCTTCCTCCTCCTCCTCCTCCTCCTCCTCCTCCTCCATCTCCTCCTCTTCCTGTTTCCCCCTTCATCCGTATCTTCCTTTTTTGGCTTTCTCTTGCTCTCTCCCTTTCCTTATTTACTTCCTCTGACTCTTCTCCCTTGTCCCCCTCATTCATTTCTTACTTGTTTTTTTTTTCCCTGCTTAATTTTTCATCTTCCTCTTACTCCATCTCCTACTTCTCCATCATCCATTTCTTCCACTTTTTATCCATTTAGCTATATGTATATTTTTTATCTTCCTCCTCTTCGTGCTTCTCCTTCTTTTCCTTATCCTCTCCTAATCCTAATCCTCCTTCTGCTCCTCCTCTCCACTTCATCCTCCTCCTCCTCCTTCTCCTTCTCCGTCTTTCCTCCTCCTCCTCCTTCTCCACCCATCTTCCCTCCTCTCCATCTCCCCTTACTTGTCGTTTCCTAATACTGCTGCTCCTCTCCTCCTCCTCCTCCTCTTCTTCTCTTCCTTCTCTTCCTTCTCTTCCTTCTCTTCCTCCACCTCCTCCTCCTCCTCCTCCTCCTCCTCCTCCTCCTCCTCCTCCTCCTCCTCCTCCTCCCCCCCCCTCCTCTCCCTCCTCCTCTTCTCTTTCTTCTCTTCCTCCTCTCTTCCTCTTCCTCCTAATCCTAATCTTAAATCTAATCTTAATCCTAATCCTCCTAATCCTAATTCTGCTCCTCCTCTCCTCCTCCTCCTCCTCCTCCTCCTCCTCCTCCTCCACCACCTCCTCCTCTTCCTCCCTATCCTTTTTTCCTCCTTTTCCTACTTTTTCCGTCTACCATTTTTATTCTAATAATTCCTCTCCCATTTTCTAACTTTCTTTATCATCTTACTACATTATTAATATAATTTACTCCTTGTCTCCTTTACCTCTTCATCCTCTCTCCCTCCCTCCCTCATCCTCTTCTTCCTCCCCCCTTCCCCTCTATTTCTTTCTCCCATTCCCATTTTCTGTTTCTCTTTGCTCTGTCTAGTTGTTTTGCAATAGTTTCACTGCATGTGAACTAATTAAGAGCGCATGAAAAACAATGTAAATTTGCAGTGTTTCATGTACATGTGTGTTAATATCTGGCTAATACGAGAAGAAAAATAAGAATATCTAAATATTTTGGAAACTCGACACTTCCAGTTAAGACAAATATATCATTCAGTATTTAAATGCTTTTTGCCATGATTATATTTGAATTCATTGAAGTAGCATGTCTTCTATTTGCACCAAATATACCCTTTAAGATCATTTATTTAAAATACAGGGTGTGTTTGGGTTATTTGTGCATGTAATTTTGAAAACAAAGTATTGACCTATGTTTTGTTCTATATGACTGATAACTGAACATCGTACATAACTCATTGTTAGAAAAAATAAGATACAGTACATGAGATATTAAAAACCTGCACTCATTATTTCCAGACTAGACACCATATGCGAGCGCCTCATGTTTGGGGACACCTTTTCTGTGCTAGATCCAAAGATAGTGAGTGGGGACTGGGTGCACCATAACATGACCCAGGTTACTACTAGGGGTGTTGTGCAAGCGCCTGAAAGTCACCCAGATGATCTTCCTAACTGGATACTGACTGCTATGAAGTGTATGGCGCATTGTAAGTACAGAGATTATTTGGGGCACACTGAAAATGCTATTCAGTTGTGTGGTGTTTCTACTTGAATATGTTGTGTTATAATTGTGGTACAACCTGTAGAAGTGAGCTAAGCCACATGTAAAATAATCAGGAAATGGGGAAATATGATCATTATTTATATGTGCTGGGAATCAAAATCTGAAGAAAAGCAAGTGGCATTATAATGGAAGAGAAATCAGTGAATGGATTTGGTGCTAATTTTTATTTCCTGATTATCTGTTTCTTGAATCAATCTCAGAGAATAGAAACAAAATTAAAGTTACAAAGAAAAGCAAAAAAAAAACAAGAAAGATGGCAGCTATAGACCAAAATTGAGAGGTGTCCTAACAGTTGCTAGCAAAGGGAAGTGAAGACTATTCAACCTTCATATTGGCAGATAGGGTTATGTTACCGTGTTATGTTATGATTTGTCATCCCTCTCATGCCATTACCTCACTGTCATTGGTTGTTGCTGTTTCTGCTGTTTTACTAAGGTGTTTGACTGAAATAAAGGGAAATTAATGCCACTATTTTGAGTCTTAAAATTTGCCTCAGAATGCCTTACAAGTTGGCCAATGCAGGACAAGGGATATCTGAAAATCAGCAACCATGTCGCCTATCTCACTACTGCTGGGAGCACCATATTTGTGATACAGATTTGATTTAGTCATATAATATATATTTCATAGTTTGTGGATTTTAGTATTTACTTTAATATGATAACTATAATGCATAATACTGTGGTAGTAACTCTTCTTTACTAGTTGATTCATCTGTCATGACGTATTGGCAGTTTGTGTTGTTGGATATCAGACAATAGACCATTCATGTTTTGTATTGTTCATTACATTGCTCAATCACTGTATTTTGATTGTTGTTCATCTTGATTCTTTGCTTTAGGGCCAAATGCTGCAGATTCTAGCTGTAACATCCCAAATTATCCAGGTGTTGAGAAGGATGTCTTCAAGATAGTGCGTGATTTTTTCACAAATTTGGTAAGTGTGTTGAGGGGGAAGATTGCGGGCAGTAGATAATTTGGTCCTTTTTTTTTTCCTCAATTATTTTTTCATTTACTAAAAAGGTTGTATTATGAAAATCATTTTAATAACAAAAGCCCTCATATTTGGATAGGAACAGTTTGTAAATTTCACTCAAGATAATCCTTGACAAACTGCAGAACTAATTATAATTATTATTATTATTTTTTTATATATATATATTTATGATTTTTCTTCTTCATAAGTAATTATTTTGCTCTTTACCTTGCAGCTGGTTCCACTAATCCCATATGAGCTGTATGAGCCACTTGCCAGAATCTACATTGGTGCTGAGTTCCTAGACATAACGTATCGCTCCCCAAATTCAACTGGTGGAGCATCCAGCTTTAAGAGTCATGATGGAAGTTATGACCCTGGTAGTTTTGAAGAGAGTGACTCTGTGGAGGATCTGATGCTCAACATGAGTATTTGTGGCCAGCAGAAGACGTCCACCCCAAACACAGATAACGAAAATAACCAGAATGGAGAACGGCAAGCAATAGGAAGCGGAGGGAAGCACTTCGTTCGCCAAGGTTCAAGTCGAAGTTTAGGGAGTGGGTTGCACACTCCATCTCTCAGACGCAGTAGTGTTATGAATTCCTCGAGGCTTCAGAGTTTGAAACTCAACAGACTGAAGCATTACACAGACTTTAAGGAAGATAATTTGTATCCAACTCTTCTTGAAGGAAGTCACGAAGAAAGTAGGTTAGACCCACAAGAAAACCAGGAAAATACCAGACCCCATAGTCGGCAAAGTAGACTGTCACAAGAAAATTCATTGCAGAAGCAGCCTGAAACTGTTCGTTCAGTAAAGACGAACGACCAGGCGAGAAGAATCAGGCGTGAAAATGACATGAAAGAAGGGATTTATGAGTCCAGAGCTCTTATAAGAAGCAGGGACATCAATTCTGTTGCACTTCCTGAAAATTATTGCTTCGAAACTGCATTTACATCTGATAGTCCACAGACAAGAATAATACCTCAGAAGTCTGTTGATACTATTCATTTCAAGAACGGAGAAAGGTTGAGTGGCTTTCTTGGCAAAAGGCCCAAGAGCATAGCTGTCACTTCTCTATCAGCAATTGATGTTCGTCCACCTGAATTGAAGAATATGTCCACTGTCTCAGATCTCTTCAAATCAAGTATTATGTCTACAAATACAACAGGGGAATATGTCACTGCTTCAGCACAGTCTCCAATGAACAGGTCAAGATCAGCAGGCAATCTGGAGTGTCTCGGTGAAGATAGCTGTGTATTCAAGGCAACTGAAGCAATGTTTGAACAACCTTCCCAAAGCATAGTTCCCGCAAGAAGCTTAGCAAGCAGGATCAGAGATTCAATCAAGCGAAAACACGTGCGGGATGACTCGGTTTCGCGAAAAAAGAAGAATCGAAATAGGGAAAGTAAAGACACGAGTAAAGATGACAGTGGAGATTACCAACGCCTGGATCGCCTGAGAACGAAGTCTGGTGGCTATATGAACCTTGCTCTGGCACCACTGCCTAATCCTCAGGAGGACTCAAGAAGTGTTAAGTCCTGTGTGTCAGATTATCAGGAACTAGGTTCTGCAGTGAGTCACATAAGAACAAAATCTGGAGGCTTTTTGAATTTGGCCCTAGAGCCATCTAGTGATAGTGTTAATCGTGTAGAAGGGTCAGAAACTTTTTCAGGACCCCCCACTTCAAGGTCAGAGTCTTCTGTCCAAGACCATCACTCAAGATCAGTGTCTCCACTCTATGGGCATCTCTCCCGTGGGGATGACCAGCTCACAGCCCCTTGCACAGACTTTATCCGGCGAAGGGTGATAACTCCTGACGGGTGTCTTAGCCATAGCCTCTCCTCATCAGGATGTAGTGTGTACCACTCTGCTTTGTCCAGTAGAAACAGCACACCAAACCCTGGCCCTCCATTGCCCCCAAAACCTCTACAGCCAGTGAGTGGTATGGGAGGAATTTACCCCAAAGTGAACCCTAAAGGTAGGTTTGATAAGCATACTTTAGTAATTTAGTGTAATTGAAATGGCAAGCTAAATATTCTACAACTGATTATTTTTTCAGATTTGATTTTAAAAGAAAAGAAATAGCTATTCAACTTGTGTCTCCATTAAAATATTCTTGCATTTGAAAAGGCATAAAAGGATATATATATTTAATTTTGTATTGTTGCTAGGACCTTATAAAGAAATCCTATGCTTATGTAAATATTTTTTTAACCTCCAAACAGGACCTGTTCCCAATTATGAGAATGTGAGTGATCTCTCCAAGCAGTTATCATCCTCTGCAAATGAATTAAGTGACCGCTGGGCAGATCGCACCCCCTATGGTCAAGTCCCTCCTTATGCCCAGGGAGGAGTGTGGCGACACTATCACTCCTCTCCAAGTAAGCGCCTGATTGGACGCAAGAAAGGGATCGAAAATTACTATGGGAGCAAAGCTTGTCTGCCTGGTATGCTGCTGCTTCTTGCATGTAAACTTACATCACTGTAGATGTGAGACAGAAGTCTAATTGATAGTACACGTAAAAAAAAAGTTAAATGAATAAACTTAGTTTTATGAATTGCGTAAAATGAAGCTCGCATGAGAATATTGTCCTTTGGATTATTGTTTTATTTTTTTGTAAAGCAAAGACTTCGCTCACATTTACAAACTGCAATATGGGTTAACCTCAATTGAATATTTAAACTTTCTTACATATCTCTGAGTGGTTTATGTTGAAGATGCTGCAAGAAAGCATGACCTTCATCTTTCCACATCCTGTAGTAACATTTATTTTAAGTATTCATACCTCAGAACCTAAGCACCTTAACAGGTATACACTGCACAGGCAAACAGTGCTAGAATATTCATATTGCATCTGTTACCTACAAATGGTTGCATGTTTCTCACAATGATTTATGGAACCTTTCTCTTCCTTTGGTTGGTTATTCTGAGGTTTTTTAAATACCTTGGGGAAATTACTTTTAATGGATATCTAAATGTAATGGTGAAGGATGTATATAATATAAAAAAAAATGTTGAAGATAATTTCATTACTGGGTTTAGGATGACTCCTTCACATGTTCACATCTTACTTATAAATGTTGACTATGATGAATTCCATTCATATATTTTACACACGCACTCACACACGCACACACACGCACACGCACACGCACACGCACACGCACACGCACACGCACACGCACACGCACACGCACACGCACACGCACACGCACACGCACACGCACACACACACACACACACACACACACACACACACACACACACACACACACACACACACACACACACACACACACACACACACACACACACATATACATACATACATATATAATGTATGTATGTATGTAAATGTATGTATATATGTATATATATGTATGTATGTGTGTATTTTTATATGTTATTAATCATAGTGGTGTTTCTATTATATCAGTCATTTGTGGTGATAGAAATTCTTTCGTTGTCAACATGAACTAATAACAATAAGAAGATGAAATATAAATAATAATTGTAAGATTAACAGTAACTGCAGTTCATTACAAATAGGAAAGGGGCTGCAATTTGGATAACATAATGTGATAGTAATTCTTATCACTATTATTATTAACAGGGCAATTGCTGTTGCTTTGTTGCTCATAATCATTAATGACAAATTTGATCACTAGGAGATATTGTTAACATTTTATAAACTTATGAATTTAATGGCAAAGCTTTTGAAGAATGCAATGCATTTGTTAGTTGTTTTTTATAACAATGCATGATTCATGTGTGCATGAAAAGGCAAATATTTACTAATTTGAGTTTCAGGAGATCATGCATTTTTTACCAAAATAAATTTCACACTTGATATTTGAAGTTCAAGGCCTCGGAAGCATTTCAAAAGAACTCTTTGCCTGTGGCTGCGATCCCTCTTCGATGACAGAAGGGTAACAGCTGTTGTTCATTATAATCTATTTGTTTTCTAACACTCATTTGTTTTTAGCTTTACTGATATGCTTGACTGCTGTTTTTATTTTATTTATTTATTTTTCCACCCCCCCAAACAAATTTTATGTGGGTGCTGGTAAGTCTATGATTTTGTAGGTGTTTGGTTGACAGGAGTCGTTACCTATGTTTGTGCATGTGGGTGTGGATATGTGTGTATGTAGGTTTGGATGTATTTGTGTGTGTGTGGGTTTGGATGTGTGGATATGGGTGTGGGTGTAGGTGTGGGTGGATGTGTGTATGGCTCTGGATGTGCATGTGGTTGCGTGTATGTGTGGATGGATGTGTGTATAGCTCTGGATGTGCATGAGGTTTTGTGTATGTGTGGGTGTGTTTTTATGCACTTGGGTGTGCATAGGCAACTGTGCTTAGATGTGTGGTCTAGGTAGGTATTTATGGCTGTGCACATGCTTCTCTAACATGTCTGTTATCTCTAAATTTGTTTAAAAAAGGTTACATAGATTTCATAAGTGTTAGTGCATGTACGTGTGCGTGTGCGTGCATGTGTGTGTGTGTGTGTGTGTGTGTGTGTGTGTGTGTGTGTGTGTGTGTGTGTGTGTGTGTGTGTGTGTGTGTGTGTGTGTGTGTGTGTACACAGATTCTATATGTATGTAAAGCAATTAATTAATAATAATTAGATAATGTCCTTTTCTACCAATGTGGAGTTAGATTTGAAGACTTACGGAGCCTATAATTGCGCTTGTTTCCTAACGTTCAGACATTTTCCCTTTTGAAATCAGGGTTGCTAACCAGGGAAGGAAAGGAAGTTGCTGTATCATCAATCCAGTTGCTACTCCTGCTGTTGGAACCTGTTCGGCGGAGGAAGTTGCACCTTCTGCTGAGGATGATGAGCAAAATGTCAGGCAATGAGAAACTGTGCCTCGACCAGGAGCAGACCACGAGAGCTCTTGTAAGTCGGTGGAAGAGGATGTTGGATTTGTGCTTTGTGATTCTCTTCATCTTCATCTGGTTTTTACTTGCAGTGTTGTTGTTTAGAAATGTTTTTGGTGGTTTATTTGTTTATTTGTTTATTTTCTCCTAATTCTGTTTTATTTTGTGTGGTTTAACTTGAGTTTTATTGAGACATGCAGGCTGATATTCCCTATGAAGTGTTTGTATTGTTCAATGATAAGTTTGCATTTGGATTGTGTCACCTGAAAACTTAATTTATAAAATTTCTTTGTTTCCTTGACTATGGTAATTATCAATGTTAATGTTTATATGTCTTTTTAATTTGTCAGTTTGAAAGTTTTCTTTTTTCTTCTTCTTTCTTTCTTTCTTTTTCTTTCCTTTCCTCTCCTCTCCTCCTCCTCTTCTCTCCTCTTCTCTCCTCTCCTCTCCTCTCCTCTCCTCTCCTCTCCTCTCCTCTCCTCTCCTTTCCCATACACTGAATATACAAGTTATATAAGTTACTTTTCCTAGAATTTTCCCATTTATGTATACAGACTGTAATTACATAATGTGTGTGATATTCACCCCCCAGGTCTTGAATACATTCACGCGCAGTATTCTGCTTTGTGATCAAGAGGCGGACTATGATGAGGTCCTTTCCTTGCGCATTATATCTTTCCTGATGGATAACCACGAGGAGGTGCTTCGTCCCCCACAAGACCTGGCTGTCCTCGTCCACAGGAGGCTCTCGGAGATGCAGCGCAGCCAGGTAGGTCTTCTGAGTGAAAGTAAGTGCATGTGTGTGTGTGTGTATGTTGCGTGTGTTTGTCTGTGTATGTATATGCAATTGTTTGAATGCATATGTGTGTGTGTGTGTGCTTGTGTGTGTGACTGTGTGTGTTTTGAAAATGCATGCATGAATGCATGCTTTGCTTCAATTTGTTTTTCATCAGACTTTTAAATTCAAGTTCGGAATTCTGAAAGTGGAAGGAAAATGAAATCAATTTTTTTAGTTTTATATGCCTTTTGCTCGATATGACAGAATGTTGATTTATGCATAGTTTTATTTTAAACATTAATTTGTGATAAGCTTTGAATGTATACATATATCTTTTGCTGTTCATGGTAGTAGCTCAGTGAGGAAAGTCAATTTACAAGAAGAGGATACTATGGTCTCTATGTACTGCAGTGGCAGAGAAGCCTTTCTATCATAGCTATGTTAGGTTATTGATTCTTATACACTGTGGTGTTCTCCATTAATGCACAAATAGGAAATCACAGTTTTATTTATTTATTTATTTATTTGTTTTTTTGTTTTGTTTTATTCACAGTTGAGACTTGTTTTGTTTGATGTAGAGAATTGGGAACATAAATTGAAATTGAATGATTTTAGGAAAATGGAATGCTTATGCAGACATGGTGTTATAAAATAAAAAGTGCTGTGTACACATTGTCTTAAATGTTACTGGATAGTGAAGTATTTCAAGACTATAGAAGGTTATAATATCCAAATGCTATCAAGTTGATTGAATAAATGTGAAAAGTAATGGAGGAATCTGTCTGGTTTAGGACTTTGTAAAAATAGGTGTGAATGGTGTAGACAGTATGTGTATCCTTGTACAGATCAAGAATCTTGTATGAATGGATTGCTTGTATATTCTGTTAGGATAGGAAGATTATGGAATTATAGAAGAATCAACTAGAAAGATAAAAAAGAAATGTAAATATATCTGACAAAGGAAATAATGTACATGATATATATATGGATCAAATAATCATAGTTATTGCATGACTAAAAATGTTTAGTAACTAACTTTTTCTTCCATATTGATAAATATTCTTATATTTCTCTTTTTCTTGGGAATAGGGTTAGATCTTAATGTAGATATGAATTCTTTACTTATTGTTGTAGGGGTCTACTGAGTGTATTTATTTACTTTTGTACAGGAGGTCAGGTATCCTTTAAAAATCATACAAGTTTTTTAAGCAGATGTAGGGGAAGTGTTCATACTGTTCTTAACCCAGTTGGCATGGATGGCAAGAATACATGCCATGCCCACTGTAATATAAGTTTATTTATTGTATTTACACATAGATGGCTCTACAGGTGCTTAATCACCAAGGAGTCAGTTATTAGTCCTACCTATTTCACCTGTTTACCCTTTTCTTTGAGTTTTGGAATGGGTCTTTTGTATTATTTCATTGTTTTAAAGGTTACCAAGATTTAAATAACAGTTTAATAATCATAACATCAATAGTAATAGTAACACATTTTCCCGCCAATTCAAGGAATGGGGAAATCAGGGTTGGTCACTAGGGCCCACTGTAACAGAATTCACAAAAAACTACAGGGGACAGAACTTAAATCCATGGTGGTTGGGTTAAGTTTAATATGTCATTTGGCATAGTATTTTTTTTTTTTTTTTTCTCCAGTTACTATATATTTTTTATATTTTCATTTGTAACAGAATGTATAAGAATTGTTTCCTGTGCCATAAAACGCAGACACGAGTGAATGCTCACCTCTGAAATTTAATGTTCAATCACTTGTGAGATCTTTCTTATATGCATACAGTGTGTGAATTGCTTTAAGAGATAGATGCATTAGATTTTTTTTACATTATTTATTCGTTTATTTATTTATTTTTAGAAGTGAAAGTTTGGTGTAAGATATTTAAACCTGATCTTCTTGTGGTTTGATTATATGAGAATGTAAAACATATGTACTTACATGTTGTATGGGTTAATGTTGATACTCAGTTTTTATATCTATTGTTGTGAGGATAATTTTCTTCCAGTATATTTGTGTTTGTTCAGAAAGTACTCTTTTCAAAATGTTTACATCTTTTCAATATAGATATGTGTATAAACCTAGCTTTGTGTCTTCTGAGGCATGAGTAACTACCGTTTGAGATTTTGAAATGAAAGTTGATTGATTTTTTTTTAATAACTTGATGATTTTTTTTTAAAGTGGCATGTATGTGTTTCACTAATTTTTCTTTTCACATGACTTCCAGATGACTTTTAATACTGATTTGCTAAAATTATCTGGTTTCTGGTTTGAAAGTGATTTTTTCAATGAAAGGAATGTTCCGTAAGTTTCTTTGGAAATGGGGTGGGGGGGGGGGGGTAAATAGCCATGGAGAGCTCTTGGAGATCAGCTCCAGAAACCAGATCTGAACGGCACACAGGGTTAAAATAGAACATAGCTGTCCACTGTAGTCTTAACATTGAATGCCTTTGCCTGTGTTGGGATCTGCATGCTTTGGTTTGATCTGTGGGATGAACTTGACTACTTGACTTTTCATGATGTATTGCTGGCATTGCATGTTTGGATGATTTTCTTTCCCTGCAAAGATTGGTTTGATATTAACTTTTATTTTTATTTTTTTTCTTTGATTATTATTTTTTTATACTAAATACTATGTAGTGTGGTTAGCATGTATTGTGTTTTAGGGTAGCTTGTTTCTATGTGCTTGTAGTGTATGTAGTGTATGTAGTGATGATGTTGCTAGAACATCACATAACACATTACTTTCAGAAGGCAGGATTAAGATAAACAACCATATTTATGTAAATAACATATACAGTGGTATAAGCTGTATGCAAACAACATATACAATGGTAAGAGCTGTATGCAAATATAAAAGAATGTTTTGAGGTATGTATGAGGAAAAACAAAACTGAACATAGATTATTTCACGTTCACATTTTCCCAGTGAGGTTTATTTAGTTCTGAAATGTACATACACATATTATTGTATACATGTATTCATAAACACTTGGTGTATTTGGTGCTAATATAAATTTGGGTGACAGCTCACAAGTCTGGAGTCAGTGGTTTTGATGTGTATGGCACTGTGGTATTTTTGGGTGATGATTAACGAGTTACAAGTCAGTGGTTATAAATCTTTTTTAACTTCTTTGCCCTAATATACCCCAGTGATACATTGTTTTTCTACATAGCTTGTGTAATGTATGAACTATAGTCATTGTGATTGAAAGTATTTTATAATGAGGCCTCAGTTCTCACTAGTTTTACAACCACTGTCTTGGAATGACTGATATAGCTATGTATCTTGATGAGCATTGATGGTAAAAACTTGAGGTTCTCTTTCTCAGGTTCCCTTTTTGTCGCATGCTTTGCAAGTTGTAAGCAGCTAATGCTTTTCAGAAGAATGGAAGTGTGGTAGCAATGATTTTTACTTGTACATGTATATCAGACAAGTATATTAGACAAGTATCTTTCATTAGATGTGTGCACAAGAGTGACTTGTGACGAAGAGCTAATTTAAGAGTAGTGTATTCTCCAGGAAATTTATGATAATTTATGTGCTTACATTTGCAGTATGTACTTAATCTTCCAGTATATATGTTCTGGGTAGTGTCTTTGTCTCATACTTTTTTTTTTTTATAAATTTTTTATTACAATTTTTTTTTTACTTTGGTGGTGGTGCAGAGCTTGACTTGTTTGTATATGCTTAGCGGGCGGACAGCAGCATGGCCCCTCCCTGTGTTCCGTTGCAGATCGTCTATGGCTCCACCGTGGGGGATAGAGGCGTGACCCTGACTTACTGTCGCCAGATTACCAACAAGGAGTTTGAGCGACAACGCATGACTGGATCTCAGCTGTTTCTGACCCAGCTTCTTGATCAGATTGTTGAAAATGATAAGTTATCAAGCAAGGAGAAGAAGAAGAAGCTTAAAGAGGTGAGTTTGAAATCATTTGCTTAAGGATGTTCTGAAGAAATTTATTCAAAATGTTTATAAATGCATAATTAAAGCAGTATGCAGAATGGTTTTATTGAAAAATAAGAACAGTTTTGAAATCCTGGACTTCTTTCATATTTTTCTCAATAGTATAGCATATAGTTATTTACCAGATTAATAATGATTACTTCATAATTACTCTGTAATAATTCCTTGTACATTAAATTGGAAATATTGTGCAGCTGCATTATTATGTGCATTTCAGTTTTACTGATATATGAAAGACATCTGCTAACCCCCAGATTAATGTGATAGGAAAATTCTATTTACAGCCCCCTAAAAGGGTTTATATATGAGTGAAAAAACAGATTTCCAGAAGGCAAGATACATAAAAAAATTGAAATGTAGAATCTCTAGGGCGTTTGTCAGGAAGTTTGTTATGAAAAGTTTTTGTCTTGTGAAATTACTCCTCATTTATGCCTTTCTCAAGAATCTTCACTGTGAACTATATAGTCTCTAGTCTTTTGGACTTCAGTAATGGGGAGGGGGGGGGAGTGGGGGAGTTTATAACTAACCCTTAAGATTTGCCTTATATCTTTGCTTTTCTTTTACAGTTCAAGTCACTCTATCCTGAAGTGTACGCGGCAAGATTTCCCGGCGAGGAACAGAAGGTGGAGAGCCGCAGCAAGATGAAGAGCTTTATGAAACTGGCTTCTCTGTCCTCTCTCGGGAAAGGTCGCTCCTTGAGAATGTAAATGTGCAAGAGTGCCAACCAAAGATGCAATTACTAAAAGTGTCATTTCTACATACTCTTCTGTCACTCTTGGTGCGAGAAAGACCGGCTGTGGTCTTATGACAGTTTTAAATGGCTGATCCTGTGATTGATCCCTGTTTTGAAAAAAAATACGAAAAGTGCAATTTTACAAATAAGGACCAAAAGGAAAGAGAAAAAGAAAGCCTTTCTAGGTCTCAGGTACTTGAAAATGTCCTATTGTGAATAATTTCACTTGCTATAGAAGAGAGTGTGTGCTTGCATGTGAGTGAGTTGTGTACAGTGAAGTCATGTATATACATACAAACTTACCCAACTTTTCTTGATACAACTATGAATCTGTTTTAGTGTGCCAACTGACTTCTTGTGTGTCTTCTTTGTGTGTTTTTATTTACTGTTTCTCTTCCTTTCACCTGTAAAAATCCCTTACATACAGATTTATTAATATAATAAAGTCTTCTGTTGTCAGTCAGATAATCAGCATCACTCAGTATTAATGCAAAACCAAATTGAGTTCATTAGATAAGATGGAGATGCTTTTCATCATAATTTTTAAAATATCTTTTAGCTACTATACTGTTGCAATAATGTCTTTCATATGATTGTTTTTGTACAGCATGTATAAGGACTGTATTCAACATTTTAGATGGACGAATGCAAATATTGAAATATAAAAACTGGCATACCTTTTTGTGTGCCATTTGATTGTAAATAATTTATGTGCCAAACATCAGCATGAAAAACTTAACCTCTGTTTGATATGTTCATTTGATACATTTTCATTAAAGGTTGAATATATTTATATATTTTTTCTTTCCTGTTGGGTTAATCTGCTGATGGTTGAGAAAGTTAGTCAAGCCTCCATGTCAGGATGAACTAGCTTGTTCATGGGATTTCCTCATCTGTGTGTTCTAGCAAACAAACACTTTAAGTAAGTCTGGGAGTCTGGCACAAATTGTGCATTTATTAGTGAAGTGCGCGCACACACACACACACACACACACACACACACACACACACACACACACACACACACACACACACACACACACACACACACACACACACACACCACACACACACACACACCACACACACACACACACACACCACACACACCACACACACACACCACACACACACACACACCACACACACACACACACCACACACACACACACACCACACACACACACACACACACACACCACACACACACACACCACACACACACACACCACACACACACACACCACACACACACACACACACCACACACACACACACCACACACACACACACCACACACACACACCACACACACACACACCACACACACCACACACACACACACACACACCACATACACACACACCACACCCACACACACCACACACACACACCACACACACACACACCACACACACACACACACACACCACACACACACACACCACACACACACACACCACACACACACACACCACACACACACACACCACACACACACACACCACACACACACACACCACACACACACACACCACACACACACACACCACACACACACACACCACACACACACACACCACACACACACACACACACACACACACACACACACCACACACACACACACACCACACACACACACACACCACACACACACACACACCACACACACACACACACCACACACACACACACCACACACACACACACACCACACACACACACACACCACACACACACACACACCACACACACACACACACCACACACACACACACACCACACACACACACACACCACACACACACACACACCACACACACACACACACCACACACACACACACACCACACACACACACACACCACACACACACACACACCACACACACACACACACCACACACACACACACCACACACACACACACCACACACACACACACCACACACACACCACACACACACACACACACACACCACACACACACACCACACACACACACACACACACACACACACACACACACACACACACACACACACACACACACACACACATATACGTCGCTGATATTCTGGGGACAGTGGTGCTCCCAACCTCTTGTCTCGTTCATAATCTGATGGCAGTGTTGATCAAGAACCTCACAACGCAGACGCTAATTCACCTACCATCACACTCCTTGCCGATCCACACTGTCTACTAACAAGCTACTTCTGTTGTAGTGCCTGCTAGCCTCCTTTAATGTCAGCCATTGCTACCAAGTCCTCTTCTGATCAATACCTACCCATGTCGTGTCTGTCCTACTACTTCGTGCTGACCACTCATGCCTGACAAAGTTGCTGATGATGTGTTCCTTTACTCTATGCCGCAACCCTCACCAATTAGGCTCATCCACCTCGCCAAGTCTTTGTGAACCTTCATAATCACAGCCATGAAGACACAGTTTTTCTTACATTACTGGGTGTCACCCAAGATAAAGTAAACAATCATGATTTATACCTTATACTGTTTATTTAAACCATAATAAAAAAAAATATTAATAACAATATATCCCACTGAAGACAGAAAAAGTGTATATAAACTAATTTACTAGTCAGACAGGCCCCATTTATGTCATAGATAGGCCAAGAGCCATCAGATTGACAGGTCTGTTTTTATAACGCTTGGAGATATGTTCTTCAATATTGACTTTCAGCTCCTTTGATCTCTCAATCATCACTGCCAACTTCGGGTGGACTTTCTGCTGCTCTTGTTGAGCATCCAGCCTACGCTGGCGAACTCCTTCTTGAGAAATCACAAATTTATCGGCAACTGTTAGCTTTGACCTGAGTGATGCAGCAAGCCTATCAACATATCTGGAAAGAAAACAATGATCACAATCACAAAATCAACAGAAAAATAAAATATTATATAGAAACTGAAATAAAATGTTTCATACATAGCAGGAATGAAATATTCATACTTTGGAGAAGAGTAAATCAGGAAGAGGTGCTGCATCTTGTTTGTGCCAAGAGGGTCGATGACATTCCGGATGTGGTTGACCATAACCTCCAACTGCTCTTTGGATTGGTCTTGCACTGAGATGGGAGCACTTGAGAACTGGTTGATTGAGAAGCTCGATTCCTCACTTTCCAGTTCTATTAGACGCTGTTTCAAGAATCCTTCCAACTGTAAAGGGAGTGAAGAATCATTACACAATGCAGCTAATAAGTTTCCTCATGTGTTCCGTTATCACATACTTAGAAAATGTATGAAAAGATATACATTATTTAGACTAAACAAAAATGGCACATACATATGAAGACAAATGACTAAAAGGTTCATAATTTGAGTAAACTTAAATGAAACCAAATTGATATAAATAATTCTTAATCAAATATAGCAACATTTATCAAACAAAAAAATCTTTCTTACTTCATACAACTCATCAATCAGTTGTGCACGAGTCTTGGGGTTGTACAGTAATGTAAGAGCCTCAGTTCCTTTAGCAACACCTCCAGACACACCTGAGTCTTCAACCACAATATCCACTGTTGCAACATCATTCTGTAAAAAATTAATTTATAATTTTCAATAACTAATAGGTCTGAAATTCATGGCTAGATAATTACCTTCAACACAATATACATTAATCTATGCAATGGAAGCTGTAAAACACATGCACAAGAAAAAAGCCACAATTTACATTTTCAGAATATTACATACCACATCTACACCCCAATCAATGGTCTGAGATTCCTCAGTGCCAAGATTTCCCCAGTCAATATCTCCTGTGGTCAGGTCTTCTGCTAACTCAATATCTGCAGTACTGAAGTCAATAGTGCCCCCAACATCACCAAAATCAATCTGGAAATAAAATGTGTAATTTAAACAAATGTACTGGATACATGTCACAGTGTAAAACCATACTACACAATGTATATGTAACAACACCAAGTTGGAATGGCTTAACTTGTAATCAGAATATGATTTATCACAAGGCAGTTCAAATTGAAAAAAGGGTGAAAAAAGGAATTCTATCTGTGTGTAGGCACAACATTATGATGACAGAAATTTGGATACTATCTATGTCATACTCTA